AGAAATGCTGCACATTACTCTGCAGCAGGAGCTGTGTAGTCCCAATCTCTAAGCAGAAGCTGGGAACTGGAACCATTCTCTCACTGAGTATGTGTGGTGGTAAAGGGACAGTGGAAAACCCCAGGCTTTGGTTGCCAGAGACCTGAGACAAAGACTGAGGTTCACCAGTGACTGGTCAGCAGATCCCTGGGTCAGCCTCTCCTGTCTCTCTGAGCCTTAGTTCCTCCCTCTATAAGATGGAGAAATACCTATTTCAGAGGGGGGAAATTATATATATAAAATATAATTATAATTATAATTATATATATATATGTGTATATACACACACACAAATTGGATAAACATGTGCTTGTTACAAGAAATGTGGAAGAAGTGATAATGGTTACTTCCGGAGAAACATGTTTGGAAAATCACATACATTTAAAGGCTAGCATCACACAAACGGGTTAATAGCATAGGTACATTTCGTTACATGACTGTGAAATTGCCTTTGAAAGCAGATGGGTAGGATACCTTTGGGATTTTATGTTAGGCATTTAATGAGGGCCAGTGAAAGGAAAGAATGGTTATTTTATCGGGAGTAAAAAATGAATCCCTTTTTTATAGGTGATGTTGGCTTGTGACATTGTCTCTTACTCAGGAGTGGTGGGACCTAATGCAGACAGGACAGATGGAGCAATTGGATATATACCCAATGCCCTTGCGGGATCTTGTCCTAGGATCCTTTAGTTTAGAAGCTCTTTATAAAGTAAGGCAAATACTCTGACGCTGCTGTCCTTAGTACAGGTGAGCAAACCAGTGGCTCCAGATAATCTTGATATTTTTATTTCTCTTAATTCAAAACATTATGTATAACCTTATTTATTTATTTATTTATTTATTTATTTGAGACGAGGTCTCCCTCTGTCACTCAGGCTGGTGTGCAGTGGCATGATCATAGCTCATTGCAGCCTCAACCTTCTGGGCTCAAGCAATCATCCTGACTCAGCCTCCTGAGTAGCTGGGACCATAGGTGTATACCACCATGCCTGGCTAATTTCAAAAATTTTTGCGTAGAGACATAGCCTCACTATGTTGAACAGGCTGGTCTTCAACTCCTGGACTCAGGCAATACCCCCACCTCAGCCTCCCAAAGTGTTAGGGTTACAGGTATGAGCCACTGCTCCCGACGACCTTATTTTTTAAATACAACCGGTCTCTTTCAAAAAAAAAAGTATTAAAACCTCTCAGTGAAATGAAATAATTTCCCCCTACAGGCTCCAACCCTCACCCACTTTTCCTATTGGGGTGTTGTTATATATTTCCAATAAAGTATTTCAATGTAGTGTATTTAATTAGACAGTTTCCAAGTCTGCCCTGCATGGGGTAGAATCATCACTCTCATTATGTTCCACTTCAAACAGGGGGTCTGGGAAAGGAATTCATTAGCAGAGCCTGAATGCTGTGGGCTGATCTCTCTTGATAACACCACCACCCAGAATCAAATTCCCAGCTCAACACCTAACACATTTAAAGGCAGTTTGTCATGATGTACACACATTGTTGTTTAAAGAATATTTCTTGGTTTAAAGTCTCCTCCCTGTAGACGTAGCTGGAGTGATTTAAAGCACCCTACTGAGATTTTCCCAGCTCATATCCTGACTCCTGTCTGTTACTGAGTGTGCTGTCCCAGTATTAGTGTAAGGTCCTGGGGAGATGGACATCATGCAGTCACTTGATTTGATGTTTGGAAGTCTTTGATGGTACCTCATTAACCACAGCACAAAGTTTTCAGCTTTTAAGGTTCTAACCCACCTCTCCAGTCCTCCCTCTGGCCATCAAGCCCCATCTCTACCCTACTGTCTCAGCCATCCTATACTACCATGTTTTCCCACACCAGGGAATCACTCACCACTCCTGAACATGGCAGGCATGAATTCTCATGCCTCTGTACTTCTGCCCCTGTTTGTTCCTTCTGCTTGGAATTTCTTCCCTTTTGTTCTCTGGTCAGCAAACCCATATTCACTCTTCAAAGCCCAATAAGATGTCCTCTCCTTTCAAAAATACTTGCTCTTCTTCCCCTTCCTCCTGATGTTCCAACAACACATGGCATTAGCTCTCCTATAGCACTTTCCAGCAGATACCTCCATCATATGCTGTGAGGTCCTTATGGAATAACTGCAAGCTAGAGTGCAAAGAGCATGAGCTGTGGAATCTGACAATTATTGGTTCAAATTCTGGCTCACTCACCTCCCAGCCACATGGTATTAGGTAAAATGTGTAAGTTTCCTCAGTCTACATTTCCTCTAATATATAATGAAAACAATTGCCTGGAGACAATAATAACCCCTGTATAGCATGTCTGGAGTGAGAACTAAAAGTTATAGCATATGTAAGGTGCTTAGGAGAGAGCAGGTATCAGTAGATAGCAGCTATTATTGCATCCCGAGCTCTGTAATGAGAATTCAATAACTATGCTCTGAGGTTTATTACTCTCTAGGTGTGCCCTCTGAAAGGCAATTAACTTTTAAAGGAGAAGCATTTTAAGAAGAAAAACTTACCATGAATCCATCAGAAGCTAAAAATAAAGGATTATTGCCATTTTATTAATGCCTCCATATTAATTCTCACTATATGCCTACTAGGTCAGTCAGCCAAACATGGGCCTTTTAAATAAGGCTCCAAAGGTGGGAAGACCTAGTATTGGAGGAGCTTGATCTGATACAGGGACTCACTGAGTGCCACTCACATCTGCTGAATCAATCAGCAGTGAATTATGCATGACCCCAAACCCCCATCCCATAGAAAACTGGAACTGAGTGGGAGGAGCTTGAGGACCAGTGGATCTGAGAGTAGTATTTCTATCCATGGCAGAATAGGAAATTTGCTCTCTTAGGAAGCAGAATAGCATTTACCTGAAAATAAAAAGTTAGATGGGAAAAGAATGAAATATCAAGCAAAGAAAAAGAGAAATTTGTGCAAAATTGTAAAGGCCTACATAATGACATCTACAGACATTTAGGGTCTTCCCAAGCTCTTTGATATTTGGTTTATTCATTCCTTTCCACATTCATCATTCATTCAAGTCTTTATTGAACATATTCCAGATGAGGGGATAGAACATAAATATGAATTAAGTTTAGTTCCTGACTTCCTGGTGTTCACACTTTGCTGGGGAAGGCAACATATGGCTATTTTTACTGTTTGTTTTGTTTCTATCAACCATTTCCTCTATGGTTCTCCCAGCATGTGTAGTAAAGTTCTTTCCATAAATGTCAGCCTGGCACTACTATGCTAAGGAGATCCAGAGAGAAGGCTGGGTTCTGCCTATACTTAAACCAGAGTTTAAAATAGGGAACATAACAGAAGTCAAAATTGAGGATTCCAGTTTCTCCCCAAGTGGAGGTTCTTAGTTTAGAGCTCTTCTCTCACCTCCGAAGGTTAGGGTATTGCTTGAACAAGAGCTTTGCCTTAAGACTTTTATAGAGTATATTTTGAAAGACATTGAAAAAATGAAACATGGGTTAGGGACATTTTACTGAAAGGAATCTCAAGTGGTAGAGGAAGATCCACATTTACTTGGCATCTGCTATGTGTTAGGTGTTGTGGCAATTTGCCCATCCATTTAAAATTCATCTTCTAATGAACTCTAATATATGAAATCTTTTGGGAGCACTACTCATATATTCTTTAATTTTTGGGAAATAGCCACCAGGAAGAAATGTTTAGCACATGCTTGACCCCATCTTGGTTTGGAAAATAGGAAAGCCAGGAACCCATTCAGAAAAAATAAGTATGATTCTAGAATTATACTAGGAATGAAGGGAAATCATGTTAACTAACTTTCTCAGTGGGAAGGCAGTAGGATGTTTACCTATCTGTATATTCACTCTATTCAATCAACAAATGTTTCCTGCATACCATCCAAGCACATTGCCAGGCATTAGGAAAGGGTGTCACAAATAAGACACAATCTCGTCCTCAAGGAGCTTGGAGCCTGGTGGAGGTGACAGTCAGACATCAAGGCTACAACAACATGTGATAACACCATGAAAAAAGTCAGGGAAAGAAGCCACAGCAGCACATGGGAGGGGCTGCTGATGAGATCAGGGAGGACTTCCCTGTGAAGGAACACGGGGCAAGAGAGGAAAGGCAGCACAGTGGGGAAGACGTTTGGACAGAGAGAAAAGGCATTGTGATACCTCGGCATTCTAGTGTTTTATAAGCCACAACTCAGCAAAACGGGGCATGGGCCCTCTGCCTCACTACTTAGCACCAATGCCATTTTTGACTTGAACATAACTCACGGATTTGTGAAAATCCACCCCATCTTTCCCACCATATCTAAGGCAAAACACTGTCTCAAAGTTTAATAGAGAATCCGGAGTTCCAGTCTTGGCTTTGCCTCTCTCTTACTGTGTAATTTTGGGGGGAAGATGTTAATTTCTCTGAGTCTTAGCATCTTCTTCTGCTACATAGAGCTATCACAGCTGCCTTGCAGCATTGTTGCAAGGGTTAAATGAGATAATGTGCATGCAGTGCCTAGAACTGTATCTGCTATGCGCTCATGAGTACGTGGCATTTTCCGCCACTGTTGTTATTATTACTACTACTATTATAATCTTGAACAAAGATTAAGGTTTTATGTTAATGTCTTTGATTGCAACTGTGTCTGGAAGGAGAGATATATTAGAAGAAGGATTGCCCCTCAATAAAAAGGTTTTCAATGTTCTCTATTAGAAATCATGAGCAATCTGACCTTGTAAAAAATAAAATGATCTGAATTCTTTACATCCTGGCTTGGTTCCTAAAGGCAGCTAAAGTGAAATTAGAGACAAAGAGAAACATTGCAGGGAAAGGCGGCAGCCTTAATTTCCGAGGTGAATGAGATGGATAGCTCCGGTGCCCAGCGGTAAACCTCTTAGTATTTATGAAACTGAAATTACACCATTCCAATAAAAGGGAAAGTTAAAGAAGGGCGCACTCTACATAATGGCCTCTTGTTAGGCCTTTCTGATTACCTGGGCACTGTTTTCGTGAAAACCGCCAGCACCCAGTGTTTCAGGGCCACCGTCCGCTGGGGGCAGACAAGAACCGTTTATTTAGCCAAATGAAAATTTGCACTTAAATAAAAAATACTAGTGGCGTTTGGGCTGGAGAAACAATTACCTAGACTCAACATCGCAGCTGCAAATTGCATCAGCAGTAAAAGCAAGTCGGGGGCACAGATTACACTGCTGCTGCCTGACATCAAAGGCAGCTAGCCTTGTTTCTTCATCTGCAGTTTGAACAATATTTCTCTTTGATCTTGGACACCAAGAACCAGTGTGGGAGAGCCAGGGGAGGAGAGGAGGTGCTTGTATTGATGTGTAACAACATACAGACCACTGAGTTTGCGTGGTTGAAATGCCAAGTAGGGTCAGGAAAACTCCATTTAAACAAACAGCTGAAAACTGGGAAAAGAATTAAGATAGCATGGTTTCATTTAATCACTCTATCAACAAGTCTTTGGAGAGGCAGTGGCACGCCCTTGCTGTGCTGGTCATTGGAGGGAAAAGGGAGGAGTGTGGGTGAGAAGGTCTGTGTGTGATAGAGTCAGAGTCTTGGCCGCAAGACCACTTTTGGTACTACTATTTAAACTTTTTGCGTCTTATTTTTCACCTCCAGGCCTATCAGGCCTATTCCCTTTTGCTTACTGATTGGCTCCCATCTGCTGGGGTTTATTTAGTCTTTGAGATTTCGGTCCTAACTTTTCCCTATCTCCCTTTCTCTTGCCGTTAATCACAACTCTGTGACTTTCTTGGGGTGGACATCCAGTCCTACCTTCATCTGTTAGGCCTCATTTCCTAAATCTGAACCCTCAGACTATACTTCCATTAGGCCACCCACTACTCACTTAGGGAGGGACAATTCAGACAAGTGCAAAGTCCCTGGCTGGGCACACCAACCAATCAGACATAGCCCAGAACAGAGTCAGATGGGCAGGCAGACTAACAAGGAAGCAATTTCTCTGTCAGAGCAAGCACAGGGAAAGGATAATTTGGTACATGTCAAGGAAGCCTTCCTGGCAGAGGTGACACTTGAGCTATATTCTGAAGGATGAGTATGAGTTCTCTAGGAAAGAGACTTATATAGTTTAGTTGAATAAGTTGGTTCAGTGTTACACACATTAATTAACACCCTGCTTCTCCCAAAAGTGCTCCTCCTCCACATCTCACACTCTGTTACACCCTCTCCACAGCCATGGTCCTCGGTATGTCCTGTTTGCATTAGCAATTTCCAAACTGTTTCCAACAGAGATCTACAGACTCCTTATCCCCCTCCCACTCCCCCGCAGGAGTTTCTAAATTAGGAGTGGGAGAGGAGGTTGTTGTGAGCTCCGCTTTCCTTCCTCTTCCAATAAAGCACTCTGTTTTGTTAGTTTTATTTTTTAACATTTTGGATACACTTTCTTTACAACAAAAGATTCAGAGCCTATAAAATGTTTGTTAATTACAGGTTTAGATCTTAGCAGGACTTAGCAGAGCCTTTGCTCCTCTGTCTAACCCATGGCATAGCCCTCCCAGCTGAAACCTAGTGCAGTACTCAGCATATCACCAGCCAGAGCTCCCCACGTGTCCCATTAAATAATTAATAACATGTTTAACTTATTCACTGATTGCATTTTTGTCTTTACAATGATAACCCTGTGAACTAGGCAGTATTAGCCTCATTTTGTTGATTAAGAAACTGAAGCTCAGAAAAGTTAAGGAACATCCACAAGATCACAGAGATGGCAAATAACAGACCTGAGATCCATCAATGTGACATCATTACCAGGCATTACATGCCAACCCTCCCTTCCAGCCTCAGTTCCCCATAATCCTTCTCTCACATCCTGCACACCAGCTGCATTTTAGCTACTTCCAAATATGTCTGTTCTTACTCACACCATTCTACTAAAACCAATATCTCTGTCTGGGATTTTCACCTCAGTAACTAGCACAATTTTCTACCTATTGACCTGAGCTCAAAACTAATGACTTCTCTTACAGTCATCCCTCTCCTCACCACTCACAAGCAGTCAAGCCATCAAGTCCTATGAACTCTTGATTTTTTTTTTCCTTATCAGTTAGGATGCTTTGGGCTGCAAGTTATTTTAAAAACAACAACAACAACAAAACTAAAGTAGCTTAAGTAGCTTTAAGTAGTTTATTGTCTCACATCTCAAGTTTCCAAGATTGGGTAATTAAAAATTCAATGCCACTTTCTGCCGGGAGTGGTGGCTCATGCCTGTAATCCCAGCACTGTGGGAGGCCGAGGGTGGGTGGATCATGAGGTCAGGAGTTCAAGACCAGCCTGGCCAAGATGATGAAATGCCATCTCTACTAAAAATACAAAAAGGTAGCCAGGCATGGTGGTGGGTGCCTGTAATCCCAGCTACTTGGGAGACTGAGGCAGAGAATTGCTTGAAACCGGGAGGTGGGGGTTGCAGTGAGTAGAGATTGCACCACTGGGTGACAGAGCAAGACTCTGTCTCAAAAATAAACAAAATTCAATGTCACTTTCAAGGTAAGTTCTTTCCATGCCTAAGGGCTTTGCTTCTCCTCTTCAGCTGATCCCCTCATAAATCCGAGATGACCACCACATTCCTGGGCTGGTTTCTTCCCTCCAGGACAACTGGAGGCTAAAAAGGTGAGTTTCTCCTTGCCCATCTCTTTTTAAGAGTCAGAAAACACCTTCCCTAAAGTTCACCCCCTACTCCCCATCAGACTTCCAGGTCCTTTCATGGGCCAGCATTGTATCACATGGCTTTCTTAATCAAAACACTGGCAAAGGAAAGAGAGTGGTCATAACTAAAATAAACAAATCACTCCATGATCTGGGGAGGGCCCCTTGCTTGAATGTCTAAGTAGAGAGTACGCACTCAAATAAAATCAGGTCTCTGTCAGCAAAAAAAGGTGGGGAGGGTGATGGTTTGGAGAGTGGCCAACACTGTCTGCTACCATCTCTCATAGCCATCCACACTGCCATTTCTCAGTCAAGTCAACTGTTACCCTCACCTAGATGAAGCTTCTAACTGCACTCTATTCCCAATTTGGTTTCTTCTAACAATCACTCTGTAGCCACAGTAATGTTTACATAATACAAATACAATTATATATTGTCTCTATATAAATATTTTAATGACTCTCTATTGCAATAAAGCCTAAACACTTTTAGAGTGCCACACAAACTTCCCCTAGCCCTGAGCTTTAGCTGCCTCCCATTTTATGCTATCCCATCTTGCTGGGAGCGCCAGACTACCCTTTTTCAACTGATGAACTATACTCGTTACTCAAAACCCCACTCAGCAATATCTGTTCAATCTCCTGTACCAATGGAGGCCCAAAACACTGAATCTGAGAGCTGGCAATGGGGGTATAGTGAATTTGATCCAGAGGCAGCTGAGCGTGCAATCAGGAAAGCTGATAGACAGTGACTCGGGGCAGAAGGTAATTCAGGAACCTGACAGTTTAAAGCAGGGGTCCCTAATCCCAGGGCCATGGATTAGTATTGGCCTGTGGTCTATTAGGAACTGGGCCACACAACCAGGAGGTAAGCAGAGGACAAGTGAGCCTTACTGCCTGATCTGTGCCATCTGTCAGATCTGTGGCATTAGATTCTCATAGGCTCATGAACCCTGTTGTGAACTGCGCATGTGAGGGATCTAGTTGGCATGCTCCTCATGAGAATCTAATGCCTGATGGTTTGAGGTGGAACAGTTGCATCATGACACCATCCCTGCCCACCCTGCCTGGTCCATGGAAAAATTGTCTTCCATTAAACTGGTCCCTGGTGCCAAAAAGTTTGGCGACCACCAGTGTAAAAGGTGCAACCAAGGGTTCAAATGGAAAGAAAAAAAAAAGAAAACTAGAGACAAAGTCTAAGAACAGCAACCTAAGGACACTAATATGGGGCATGAAAACAGCTTTGAAATACTGCTTGAGACTGGAAACGGGAGTCTAGGATGGGCTACTGGCACAGGGAGAAGACTACAGAGCACTGGGGAGCCCTCCCCTGGCCTGCTTGCTCTTTGCTTCATTGCTTGCCCTTTGCTTGCTCTGCTCTGTACCGCAGAAGCCTGATCCCTGCAGGCTATGTGTTCCAAGCTCCTGCATTATTAGCTGGTTTCTAGCTAGTGGGGAAACACCAGTGAAAGATGGTCCTGATTGGCAGAATCTCATTACTCCCCGGTCTCTACCTTGGACAGCACCACCAGCAGCTCTGTGTCCCATGACTAGGCCCTCTACTGGACAGGCCCACTGGGGTGCAGCTCCCCAAGGTCACTTTGGCTGCTGGGCTCCAGTGACACCACCTCACCACTTTGTCCCTCCACCTAAGGGTGGCAGCACCTTCCTGCTGTCATTAATCCCTGGGTGCCTCACAATCTCCTGATGGCTTTGTAGCTTTGCAGCTCTGTCATCACTGTGTAACCAGCTCTCCAAATTAAATTTCCTTTATTTTACATTCTTTGAGTGGTTTCTGTTTTCCTGATTGGACCCTGACTGATGCAGGTAGTCACTGAGCCACGTTTGTAAGATTTCTCTGTGAAATCCTTCCTTACTCCCTTGTTTGCTTTGCTTTTAGGAAGCAGAACAACATGATGATGAAGAGAAAATTGTTTGCAGTTGCTCACCGGGTTTCAAACTCCAGCTCTGCCATTCATTTACTGACAGCCTTGGTCAAAATCACCCAGCCCCTTTAAGTTCTGGTTTCTTCAAGTGAAGTTAAAAGTAGTGCCCTCTTCTTAACCACTGTTAAGACTGAATAAGGTACTGTATATAAAACATTTAGGCCAGCCTCTGGCACAAAGTAAATGTTCAAGAAATGGTCCTTTACCCAACTTTCTATCATAGCACCTCTTCAGTGTATCTCAGTGAGAGATTTATTTAAGTCTTTGGCATCTGCTAGAGCAGTGCTTATTAAACTTTAAGGTGCATCTAAAGGACCCTATGGTGGCATTAAAATGCAGACTCGGATTCAGTCAGTCTGGGGTGTAGGTCTGAGATGTTGCATTTCTATTACTCTTCTCAGCTGATGCTGACACTGTGGTCC